GGCCGGAGTGGGGGCTACTTAAAGATTCTTTGGAAAAAGACATAAATGGAGGGAGAGTGAAGACTTGAAACCAGTAGTGCAGCTTATCTGTGGGTATGAGGAGGCAGTGACTTATTGAATCAAGGGTCTTTAGCTGCGCCCCTGGGGCCATTTAAGTTTCTGTCCAATCAAAGCCATCCTACAGCGTGAAGCAGTGGAGACAGAAGCAGCCTGCGTGCATGTGTGATTACCCAGGGGTAGCGGTTTCCTAACATAGACAACTTATAAATACCACAAAACATGAAGAACAAGGAAAAAAAAAAAGGCACACATGTTCTGAATGATTGTCCAGACATCTGTTTACTGTTTTGACATTTCTCTTTTACTTTATGTTCATTAATGGTGTATTATTATGCCCAGATTTTTCCTTATCATTGTCCTATAAACCTTTCCTTTCTTACTACAAAGGCCTTACAAATGCCATAGAAAGGTCTAGATGAATATTCCATTGTATGGAGACACCATGACTGACTTTTAACCTTTCCCTTGTTCTTTAATGTTTTGGTTATTTTTTTTTTATTTTTATTTTTTGCGGAACCGGGGATTGAACTCAGGCCCTTGCGCTTGCCTGGGAAGCGCTTATTCCACTGAGCCATCTCCCCAGCCCCAATTTCTAGGGTTTTAGGATTATAAAAATATCATAGTGAGCATGTTTATGCTTAAGCCGTTACAGCCATGTTGAGTTTTTTTTTTCTTGAATGGATGTTGGCAGGAGTGCAGGGTTCTGTGTTCCACTGCGCATCCCAGTATGCTGAGGACTTGCATGACAGTTTCCCCTATAATGTGATAGTTTGAGGTTATTTGATGGTCTTACACAGCTTTCAAACTTTGAAATGTCTTTTTTTTTTAAAAAAAAATAATTTTATTGAGAAACAAATAGCAATGAGACAGTTTCAAGACCGATTAGTAGGACAGTTTCAATAATTAATACATTGCATATTGCTATCTTCTTAGTGGTTATTCATAGCACAAGATGCAGACATGATATCCTGTCCAAACACTATTAGAACAAATCTTTCTATTCATTGAGTTAAAAGAAAGTAGCTGTATATCTATCCTATTTTGAATATACAGATACAAAATGGTCTTTCATTTGTATCCCCCTTTTTTTTTTTGTTTAGTTTTGTCAGAGATGGGTATTCCATTCATCATTTAAGTACCGTAGGTGCGTGCATGCAGCAAAATATCCCAATATAGTCCAGTAGTCCATAATAGTAATGGGTTTTCTGTAGAACTGGCGATGTCAGAAGTTGTAGACTTGAGCCTTTTACAGCTCAACATATTAATACGGCTTTACTTTTTAAACTTCGTTTTTATACTTTTCCTGAAATGCCTTTAAAGACATAGGACACATTGCTACCTCGCTTGTTTTCTTTCCAATGGCCCAGGACCGGGGAGGCAGCTTCCTGGGACCTCACACACAGAAGGCTTTGCAAGAGGAGGCTTCCTTTTGCAGGTCAGGTGTCACTGCCTGCTCTACAATCTCTGGCTCTGAGAGAGCAGCAGTCACACAACACTGACCATTAAGACCCTGTAAAGTCCTGACCCATCTTCTGAGGGTGCATGTACTCAGAGAACAGCTTCCTAAGCCTAGAAGAGCCAATTCCGTTGCCCTTCTTCATTTTGTCTTGTAACTTCGCTTCTACTTTTCACATTTAGTTTTTGCATTTCCTTTGCTTGCCTCATGGATTACATTGGATCACAGTCACCTTAGCTGCCCCTTCCCTTTCGGGGGCCTTCCCCCAGTATCTTGGTGAGGGCAGAGGACTTTTCCTTGGAAGGTTCTCTTCCTGCACCCCTCAGCACGCGCTGAGGCCATATTGCCAGCCTCTGCCAGGGGTGAATATTGCTCACTGTGCACAAACATGAAATGCTGATTCTGAGAAGCAGAGACACGCGTGTGTCCAGGCACAGTAGAGAAAGCTTGAGCTTTGCTTTCTCTCTCCACCTCTTGTGCCCAGCAACCCCCTGGGCTGTGCGCAGCACATCTTCCTTCAGCAGACAGCCTTCCAGGTCTTTACTTCCTCTGGGGGAAAAGCCTCCCTCTTCCTTTGGCCCATGGGCCAGTTGCTTCTCTAGCCAGGCTGAGGCTCCCTTTGGGGCCAGCTGAATTCTGTGCTGTTACAGTGTGGTCTCTCTCCACTGGCTGCCATCAAAGGGCCTTTTGTTCCCTCACACCCCCTCCTTTGCTAACATGTCACACACACCCCACTAGTGACAGAAATCCCTTCATACCATTGTGGTGCTCTGTAGCCCATAAACTCTCTCTAAAACACATCACGTTGTTCTCGTGAACCTGTTTCTGTGCCTCAAGGAAGCTGCTTATAAAATGTAGTTGTAATAGTTGTTGACTTTAGCCTTTAGCTCCTGTTTCCACCGTTCCTTCAAACGCCTAGCAGTTCGGAGTGATTTTCATGGGCTTCCTGAGTATGGATTCATAATGTCAATGGATTTGCTTCCCTGAACAATAATGTGTCACTAAGCCCATGAGGTGTGCATTTAAAGTGTTTTCACCAGGAAAGGGATGTCATGATTTATGCATAGTTTTTACTAAAAATGGTATCAGGCCCGGGATATGGACCCTAGGAACCTCTGGGCTTGTGTTTTCTTGTTCTGTGTCTGTTTCCAGCCTGCTTGGCTTTCCTTTCCTGTCCTGATATGCTAGCTTAGGAGTAATCGGAGTTCATGGGTTTCCAGAATATATGGTCAGTAATGGACATGCTCTCTGTGGTCTATGTTTCTTCCTGGCTACTGTCTGTCTTCAGGCCTAGTGAAAACCATGTTGGCCCTAGAACAAGACAAGACCCAGACTTGCCAGCATTGCACGCTCTGCTCTGGACGCATCACCCCTCCCTTTCAGCAGAGGGCAGATGTTGTTATAAACTCAAGATTGCCAAAGGCCGAGCAAAGTCCCTGGAAGCCCAGCTAGGGTTGAGGCATACAATGGATTCGTGGGGGGAAATGAGGGCAAAACTAGGGAGTGGAAGAGAAAAAAGAAATACCAACCAAACAGTTGTCCTCAGGGGGAAAGAGAGGTCCCCTGTTCTGGGATCCTGGGTGGCAACTATTTGCCTCTTTTTTTCTTTATTTTGACTAAATATTTTACAAATTCTCTTGTTTTGTGTTTGGTTATCTTTTTTTTTTTTTTAATTAAGACATTTTGCAGTACATAAGGGTTATGTGTATCATGGAGAGTTTGTACCTCACACATTCCTGTACAACTTCCGCGTCCTCCAGCTCCTGGTTCCTGCCCCTGTGCAAAAGCATTATGGGTATTTTTTCTTTAATTCTCTGTTTTTAGATCCCTTTTCTAGCTCTCCATTTCTTGATCCCCTTCTCACTTGAAAAAAGATCTCCCTCCATCCTGTTGTCTTTCACTTTGCTCTTTGATTATATTTTCAGGTTCTCAAACAAGCAAAGCCATGTAAAATGTAAGCTTGTGTGTCTGATCTATTTCACTTACTATTGTGTTCTCAGGGTGTGTCCACTTATCCACAAGTATTTCCACTTTATTTCTCTTCATGGCAGAGTAGTGTTCCATTGTACAGAAATACCACAGTTGCTTTATCTGTTCATCTGTTGATGGGCATATAGGCTGTTTCTAAAATGTAGCTATTGTAAAGTGTGCTGCTCTCAACAGGGTTATGGGTTTATCACTGTAATAGGATGACTTCAGCTCTTTTGAGGGTGGTAACTAGATGGGAAATAGCTGGGTAGAGTGCAATTTCTAGTTTTAGAGTTTTGAGGAATCTCCATTCTTATTTCCATAGTGGTTGTCCTTGTTTGCACTTCCACCAACAGTGTAGAAGGGTTCGTTTCTTTCCTGCAGCCTCAGGAGCATTTGGTACCATCTGATGTCTTGGTGCTAGCCATACTTTCTGAGGCAGATGGAAACATATTATTTCTTAAATTTGCATTTCTCTAACACCCAGCAGTGCCGAGCATTCCTTCGTGTACTTAATGGTCATCTGTACTTCTTCTAAGACAACTCAAGTCTATTCACTTGAGTTGCCCATTTTTCATTGGCTCTTTTTTTCTTTAATTTATGTATTTGGTACAGGGTCTCACTATGCAGCTCAGACTCATTGTGATCCTCCTATTTTGAGCCTTCCAGTACTGGGATTACAGGCATGCACCACCATACCCTGACTTGGTCACAGGCTCGGCGTGCCCTGGGAACAGGGCTGGCACGGCATGCGGGACTGGGGATCAAACCCCTGTACCTGTACTTGCCAAAGCAGGCACTTAGTCTGCTGAGCTATCTCATCAGCCCTTGATTGGCTTTTTATTTGGGGGTTCCTTTTTTAGTATATTTTCTCTTTTTTTTTAATGCATTTAGTACAGAGTCTACAGGGTCTCACTACACATATCCGACTAGTAGTGATCCTCCTGTTTTCAGCCTCCCAAGTGCTGGGATTACAGGCACATGCCACCACACCCAATCTCAATCACCATCGCAGTGTGCCCTAGGGATGGGGCTGGCACCACAGGCCAGGGATTGAACCCTGGTCCCTGAGTCTTCCTAAGCAGATGCTTTAATCTGCTGAGCTATCTGCTAGGCCCTTTAGTATATTCTTTAGCAAATAACACATCCACTTGGTTTTCAACCCCCAAAATATAACTCATTACAGATTCAAAGTGTTGCTTCCATCGTTCTCCCCGCCGCTTGGCCTCTGTCTTGCTCTGCACAGGGAGCTATTTCTTTCTCCTGTCCATCCTCCTTCCAGTTCCTTTGGCGTTCTCCCAGGCAGGTGGTGACCAGTATAGCTTGTTACGTTGCCCTGCTCCGTGTTCTTGTCTACTTATCGCCCTGTTGCATGTTGGCTTGCTTTGTTTCCTTGCATCCCCGTCTCGACGATTCTTCGTGGAACTTTGTTCTTTTAGAAAGGTCAGCATTATTAGTTCTACTTGTACCCGATGCTCTCAGCAGGCTCACATGTGTGCTTGTCTTCTCCCCACAGAGGAGGCGGAAGGTGAGAAGTGGTACCTGTCTATGGACCTCCCTCCGACAACCATCAAGACAGAGCCCATCACTGAGGAGCCACCCCCAGGGCTTGCTCCCTCTGTCACACTGACCATTACGGCTGTTTCCACCCCTTTTGAGAAGGAGGAGCCCCCTCTGGAAACAAATGCTGGGGTATATTCAATTTTCTTCCATTGACTTAACTTGGGTCAAAAGCTACAGAGCTATATTTTCCATTGAGGTATTTATACTAGTAACTGTATGTCTTTAAGGGCAGGCCTACAGCTTTATGTAACTATTCCTAACAATATATGTATATATATTCATTATGCATATATACATATGTATGAATATATATATGCATATTAAAGAATATGTTGATGCAGTATCAGCATTGATTACATCAGAAGCTTTACAAGCATTGCCCAGAAACATCAGTAGCAATTGCTTTTTATTGCTACTACACAACAGAAACACCAATAAACATACTAAGAAGTTCCGTAAAGTATTAAGCCAGCGGTAGGGGATTGGCTGAAATAATGGATTGATTCACACCTCCCAGGGCTATGGCTACTGGGATTGTTACTTCCTGTATAATATTTAATTTCCCAGGGCCCTGTGCAACTCTGGAATCTTCCATATGTTGATTCACATGTGTTATCTATAGAAAGCGAGAATTTCTTCCCTGCTCGTGTCCACTCTTACAGCAAGTAGGATTTAATTCTGCTCTCATTGCTCTCCAGGTATTTCCCATTCCCTGAGAATGAACCAGAATTACCCTGGTAAATCTTCCCATAGGGGTTGGAAGCCAGTCCTAGTGTGAGCTTCGGCTCCATTAATGTCCTTGGAGTCTGACCTTCTATAAGCAGGACGAGTGGTCTCCCTGTTCAGGCAGAGGTGACACAGACTCAGCAGAGCAACGGCACAGTGCAGCCTCCTCATCGTGTAGACGAGGGGCTACAGGTGATCCCCTTCTCAGGAGCTGCCTGGCTCTCTTCTGGATGGGCTTCTGTGGCATGCACTGGTCTCCTCGCTCCACAAGATTTTAGCTCTACTGATTGCTGAGTTCCTGTAACTGACAAAGCTCAGGCTTACCACAGCCTGGCCCGTGGTGTGGCTGGGCAGTTCTCCTTTTCCTGCTGTTTAATGGTTAGATGTCATAGGTCATCCCCGGTCTTGTAGAGATGGGCTGTGGCTGGGTACACACACCCTACCAAAGGACAAACCGGAGGCCTTGGGACCTTTTAGACATCTGCCAACTATTTCAGGAGAAAATGCCTTTCCCACAAAAGCAATAGAGAGAAGCACTGAGACGTGAGCTTGGGGCTCAGAGTGTGGAGGACCCCATCAGCAGTGACGGCAGCAAGCAGGTCGGGAACTGGGCTGACTCCCTGGTGAAGGAGCATCCATGTCCCCCTGAGCCCCAGAGGATGCTGGCCCCAGAGGCAGACTCCATGACAGCAACAGCATTCGTGTCCTTAAACATCGTATTTGAAATTCTTCCTGCAGGTCGATTCCTCCTGCCAGACGATAATTCCTAAGATTAAGCTGGAGCCTCATGAAGTGGATCAGTTCCTGAACTTCTCTCCTAAGGAAGGTCAGTTCCGGCAGCCCACTGCCCCACTTCCACCCCTGCGCTTGCTCGGTGTGCAGAGAAGGGGTCAGGGCAGATAGCTGAGCCCACAGGTGGCGCTTGCTTTGTGGAGTAGCTCTGTTCATGAAGAAATCTTGGTTCCAAATACACATTTTGAAATGTATAGATTATTTTCCTCAGGTACACAAATTTAACTCTAAGTGGTAACACACTTCTGCTCTTAGCCAGGGTGATGTTTCAAGCTTTTTCTAGATGGCTGTGACATGGGGACCAGAGATGACACCCACTGTCCTTATGCCCTTCTTGTGTAAGCCCCACAAGTGCCCTGCACCCCACGGTGACACTTCCTCAGTGGAAACCACTCCCATTTTAGCCCTCTGCAAAGTGAATTTGTACTTCATTGTCTGTCCGGCCAGTGCGGTGTGCTGAGTGTGGACCATGACTAACCCCAGCTGCAAGGAACCCCCTACTAGTCTGAAATGTTCGTGGCTTCCCTTTGGGCTTCTTACCATCTGTTCACAACAAACTGAAGATGACCTTGAAGTCATTCGACTTGGCTCTTTCTCCACATCCTTTTCTCCCCAACCTTCTCACTCTTTGATCGCCCCTGAAGCCCATAGTTGGGGTCCTGCACGCCAGCCCCTGAGCTTCACAGATCCTGGGAAGGCCTCTGTGTCTTGTGTGTAAACAAGACGCACCTGCACAGGTCCTGTTCTTCTCAGCTCTGTGCCTTTGGCCCTGCTGTCTCTTCCTTTTTTATTTTTTCATTTGATGTATTTGATACAGGGTCTCATTACACAGCTTGGACCTGTAGTGATCCTCCTGTTTTCAGCCTCCCCAGCGCTGGGATTACAGGCATGTGCCACTGTGCCTGGACTCGGTCACTAGCTCAGTGCACCCTGGTGGTGGGGCTGGTGCAGCATGCGGAACCAGGTACTGAGCCCTGATTAGTCCCTGCGTTTGCCAAAGCAGGCGCTAAGTCCACTGAGCTTTCTCATCGGCCCTTTTCCTCCTTTTTAAGTTATACCTTGTTTTGTGTGCATGCTGTGCTAGGCATAGAACCTGGAAGCGCACACATGCGAGGCAGATGCTTCACTGAGCTGCAAACTCGGCCTTTTTATATTTCATTTTTATGAGGCAAGGTCTCACTAAGGTGCCCGGCCTGGCCTGACCTTGAATTTGCTATCCTTCTACCTCAGCCTCCTGTACAGATAGGACTTCAGCCACCTGCCGCAGTGCTTACCTGTCTTATACTTACAACTCACGTTTAGAAGCACAGCTCATTGTGTGGCCGACAACTAAGAAATGAGCATATCAGATTGTTACAGAAGAAGAGAACACACGCGGTGCAGAATGCAAAGGCATGACAGTTGTAGAAGAGTGGGTCTCATGGAAGAATAGTCCACTGACTATTCCATTAGGCTTGGCCCTTTATTGACCTTTACTTTGGGGAAAAAAAGTTAAATTTAAAAAAATTAATAATACTGACCAGAGTCGATATGGAGATATTATGTCTTTGCATGGAATGGCACAGGTTGTGGCTCGGAGCTTTATGCTCCACTTTTAAGTAATTTCTTTCTATTTTATGGTACTCATTATTATCCTCAAACGCATTGTGCTCTTTTAATTTATATTGCAGCGTGGTTCAGACAGTGCGATAGCTGTAACAATAGCTCCCGCAGCGGCTTCAGAATGCAGGGTCACTGGAGGTGAAATGCTCTGAGAACCCAGCAAATAGCAGGCCTTCCTCATTGTCCCCGATAGAGAGATAAGGAAATTCAATATCCTGGCGGGCATCAGCGTTTCTAGGCAAAGTGGCTCGTCCCAGCTCTTTCAGAAACCCAAGCGCAGCCCTTCGGTTGATATTTAGCCATCCGACACCCAGGGACCTGCGGCCAGAGCAGCACACACTCTGTGGGTGGGGAAGGTGAGATTCAAGTTCACTTTACGCGCTCTTCCTGTCTTTTTGTGGGGAACCCCTTGCCTGGAGCGGAGGAAAATATTTAGAGTAACGTGGCCCTTGCCGAGGGAGCGGCACGGGAGCTCTATCTAGGTACTCTTGGGAGCTGTTGGACATGTACAGGACCGGGTGGCTGGTGGCTGGAACTCCTGATGAGTAGTCTGCTCCTGCCTTCCTTTTGTTTAGTGTTGGTGTTGAACCCAAGGCATTCACATCCCCCGTCTTTTTCTTTTCTTCCCTCCCTTCCCCTCCCCTCCCTTCCCCTTCCCCTTCCCTTTCTTTTCTTCTCTATCTTTTGAGCCAAGTTCTTGCTAACTCCCCACATTGCCCAGTTTGGGCTTAAACTTGCGCTGCTCCTGCCTCAGCTTCCCAGAGTGCTTGGGTTGCAGGTGTGTGCCACCAAGCCCAATTTCCTTTATTTGTTGTCATACGTCACCAGAGTCTATAAGGCATCAGAGAAACCTTGATAAATAAGCACTTGTAAGCTTCCTCCCTTCTAGCCAAGCTTGTACATACTGAGCCTCACTCGTCACCTCCTTAGCTGCTTGCGAGGCTAGAGGGAGTGCTGGGAGTAGAGGGCACAGGACTGTCCTAGAATAGTCTTCAGCTTTAAGTCCATGCACAAACACTGAAACAGCCAGAGAGGCCTTGGCAAGGATTTGACCGAGAAAAAGAGAAAGAAGAAACAGTTAGAAAACAGTAGGACATGGTGGCGGAAGCCTGTAACCCTAGAACTTGGGAGGCTGAAACAGGAGGATTGTTGCCAGTTGGAGACCAGCCTGGGTTACAAAGTGAGCTCAAGGCCATCCTGAGCTGCATAATGATGCTCTGTCTCAAAAAGATAAAAGAAAAGAGTAGGATGAGAGAGAGAGAGAGAGAGAGAGAGAGAGAGAGAGAGAGAGA